TTAGTTTCTGCACAGTTGGTTTTGTGCAGTTTTTGGTTGCACTGTGATCTGAGAAGCTGTTTGTTATGATTTCTGTTCTTTTGCATTTGCTGAGGAGTGATTTTCTTCCAATTATGAGGTCAATTTTAGAGTAAGTGTGATGTGGTCCTGAAAAGAATGTTTATTCTGTGGATTTGGGGTTGCGAGTTCTGTAAATATCTATTATGTTCACTTGGTCCAGAGCTGCATTCAAGTCCTGGATTTCCTAGATTTTCTGTCTCATTGATCTGTCTAATATTGACAGTGGAGTGTTTAAGTCTCCCACTATTATTGTGTGGGAGTCTAAGTCTTTGTAGTCTAAGTCCTTTGTTAAGGACTTGCTTGTGTATCTGGGTGCTCCTGTATTGGGTGCATATATATTTAGAATAGTTAGCTCTTCTTGTTGTATTGATCCTTTAACCATTATGTAATACCCTTCTTTGTCTCTTTTGATTTTCGTTGGTTTAAAGTCTGTTTTATAAAAGACTAGGATTGCCATCTCTGCTTTTTTTTTTGCTCTTCATTTGCTTGGTAAATCTTCTTCCATCCCTTTATTTTGAGTCTAAGTGTGTCTTTGCACATGAGATGGGTCTCCTGAATACAGTACATCAATGCTTCTTGGCTTTTTATCCAATTTGCCAGTCTGTGTCTTTTGATTGGGGCATTTAGTCCATTTACATTTAATGTTAATATTGTTATGTGTGAATTTGTTCCTGCCATTTTATTACTGGTTGGTTGTTTTGCCCTTTGGTTGGCATAATTTCTTCATTGCGTCATTGGTCTTTACCATTTTGGTCTTTTTTGCAGTGGCTGGTACTAGTTTTTCCTTTCTGTGTTTAGCGCTTCCTTCAGGAGCTCCTGTAGGGCAGGTCTGGTAGTGACAAAATCTCTCAGGAATTGCTTGCCCATAAAGGATTTCATTTCTCCATTACTTATGAAGTTTAGTTTGGCTAGATATGAAATTCTGGGTTGAAAGTTCTTTTCTTTAACGATGTTGAATATTGGCCCCTACTCTCTTCTGGCTTGTAGGGTTTTTGCTGAGAGATTCGCTGTGAGTCTGGTGTCTTCCCTTTGTGGGTGACCTGACCTTTCTCTCTGGCTGCCCTTAGCATTTTTTCTTTCGTTTCAACCCTGGTGAATCTGACGATTATGTGCCTTGGCGTTGCTCTTCTAGAGGAGTATCTTTGTGGTGTTCTCTGTATTTTCTGTATTTGAATGTTGGCCTGCCTTGCTAGATTGGTGAATTTCTCCTGGATAATATCCTGAAGAGTGTTTTCCAGCTTGGATTCATTTTCCCCATCATCTTCCGGTACACCGATCAAGTGTAGATTAGGTCTTTTTACATAATCCCATATTTCTTGAAAGCTTTGTTCATTTCTTTTCACTCTTTGTTCTCTTTTCTTGCTTCTCATTTTATTTCATTGAGTTGATCTTCAATCTCTGATATCCTTTCTTCTGCCTGATGTATTCGGCTATTGAAACTTGTGTGTGCTTCACGAAGTTCTTGTGCTGTGTTTTTCAGCTCCTTGAAACTTGTGTATGCTTCACAAAGTTGTTGTGCTGTGTTTTTCAGCTCCATCAAGTCGTTTATGTTCTTCTCTAAGCTGGTTATTCTAGTTAGCATTTTGACTAACTTTTTTCAAGGTTTTTAGTTTCTTTGCTTTGGGATAGAACATGTTCCTTTAACTCAGAGAAGTTTGTTATTATCCACCTTCTGAAGTCTGCTTCTGTCAGTTCGTCAAATTCATTCTCTGTCCACCTTTGTTCCCTTGCTGGTGAGGAGTTGTGATCTCATGGTGGGAGAGAGGCATTCTGGTTTTTGATGGTTTTATTCTTCTTGTGCTGATTTCTTCCCATCTTGTTGGATTTATATAGTTTTGATCTCAGGTAGCTGCTTGGGGAGGTGGCCTTTCCTTTATCTGCCTGCAGAGGCACTGCTGGGCTGCCACAGATTCAGTGGAGCTGCTGCATATTTTATTTACTCAGAAAAATCAGGCCTGCTTCTGCAATGGTGGCTGCCCTTCCACCCGCCAAGCTCGATCATTCCTAGTCATTCTCTAACTAATGTTCTCGATGCAAAACTCTAGAGTGAGTGAGAGTTTTTTAGCCTGCCAGGCTTTGTGCAGGGGGGAACATGTCCTGCTATATAGGCTGTACCCCTGCTTTCAGCTCCCCTTCTTTCTGCAGGGTGGGTAGCTCTGTCCAGCAGGCTTTCTGGCTTTCACATCAGGCAGTGCTTCTGCCTAGATCTATGCTGACAGCCCCAGCACTGGCTGAAGTTGCTGTTCTGCCTTGTTCAGGCAGCTCTCTGAGGCTTTTCAGCCCAGTGAAGATCTCCTGTTCTGTGGGTTGTAGAGGGCTTGGGTGGAACGTTGTATCCAAACCAAAGTCCCAGATGGGGAGATCCCCTGGTCCTCCAGACAGTTACATGCACCTCCTGGATAGGGCAGTGCCCCGCCTTGCCTCAACTTGCCCTATTTGGTTTATACCCACTGTCCAACCAGACCCAAAAAATGAATTTGGTACCTCGTTTGGAATTGTGGAGATCACTCGGCTTTTGTGTCTCTCTCACTGGGAGCTGCCTCTTATTCTGCCATTTTGGGATCACCCCAATTTTTTAATTTAATTTTAATTTTTTGAGATGAGGTCTCACTGTGTTGCCCAAGGTGATCTCAAACTCCTGCACTCAAGCAATCCTCCCACCTCAGCCTCCCAGAGTGCTGGGATTATAGGCATGAGCCACCACACCCAGCCAAAAAATATGTTTAAAGAAATATATTTGCATACATTGAATGTACCATAAGTGGACAGTGTTGATAAAGCCTACAGTAGTGTACAGTAATGTCCTAGGCCTTCACATTCACTCACCACTCACTCACTGACTCACCCAGGACAACTTTCAGTCCTGTAAGCTCCATTTATTTTAAGTGTCCTGCAAACTCCATTTAGGATAAGTGCCCTATATAGTATCATTTCTTACCTTTTTTTAAAATTATACTTTAAGTTCTGGGGTACATGTGCAGAACATGCAGGTTTGTTACATAGGTATACATGTGCCATTGTGTTTTGCTGTACCCATCAACCCATGATCTACCTTAGATATTTCTCCTAATGCTATCTCCTAATGCTATGCCCACCCCTCAATAGACCCCGCAATGTTCTCCTCCTTGTGTCCATTTGTTCTTTGTTCAACTCATTTTTTATCTTTTATATCATATTTTTCCTGTACCTTTTCAATGTTTACATACACAAATATTTACCATTGTTATAATTGCCTATAGTATTAAGTATAGTAACAAGCTGAACAGATTTGTAGCCTAGGAGCAATAGGCTATATCATATAGCCTAGGTGACTAGTAGGCTATGCCACCTAGGTTTGTGAAAGTACACTCCATCCTGTTTGCACAATGATGAAATGGCCTAACAACATATTTCTCAGAGTAGATCCACATTGTTAAGGGATACATGACTGTTTATACTAAATATATATTAAAGGCTTCAAAAAGTCGTTCAGTGAAAAATCTCCAATTTGTTAACCCTAGCATTCCGTAAATACTTCCCTCAGAATGTTTCCAAGGAACTCTCATTAGGGTAGTGATTCTCAAACTGTGGTAATAGGAGCCAGCAGCAGCAGCAACAGCATTTCCTGGGAACTGATTAGAAATGCAATTTTATGGCCTGCCTCAGATCTATAGCATCAGAAACTCTGGGGTGGGGCCCAGCAGTTTGTGTGATAGTAAGTCCTTCGGGGATTCTGATGCGGCTCAAAGGCAAGAAGCATCGTTAGAAAATTTTACTGTTACTCTCCAACTTAACAGTAACTTTTTGCTTTCTTTCATTAGACTTTCCACAATTTGTATTTTTAACAGTTTCTTCTAATGATATTCTATGAATCTGTGAATTCATATTCTATAATCATAATCTATTCTCTGAATTTTCTTCCTTCTGTACTTCATAAAAGGTCATAAAGGGAAAAGTTTTTCATTTCCTTCAAAATGTTTTTCAGAAAATACAGACTTTTTTAGCATCTTGAAAGATCTGTAATCTGCCTTTTCTCATGTCAAAATTCTATAAGATTAGGAAGTGTTCTAATCTCTTTGCATTAACAGAGATTAAATTCTGGTGGCATTATATTTGTCTCTCCAAACAAGCAACATTCTTTTAGAAAAATGTAATTGAAATTGAACTTAAAATGTATTTGTATTTAAAAATAAAAAGAATTTTATTTATTTTATTTTCACTTTTAATATTTTATTAAAAATAAAAGAACCGTATTTTACATGGTTTCATAAATGCATTTTGAAAGTTTATATGAAATGCCTCTGTAAAACATGCAGAAGAGTTTTCTTTTTCTGAAGGACAGTGAAATGAGGTTGAACGTGTTAAAGCATCACACTATATTTAACTCAAGTACATTTAGAACAAAATTACTATTAGGATTTTCTTAGAATGAATCATGGCCAAATTTAACTTCTCAATATTTTTTTGTCACCTATTCTTTTCATACAAGTAAGAACTCTCTGGGTTTATATTAGTAGGTCAACTGAAGTTTTATTTATTTTTAGGTAGAGGGACAAAGACTGATAATCTAGAGACCGGATTTTGATTTGGCTGCTGCTGTCCGTCAGCAGAATGCCTTGGGGTATCTACTTACAGTAATGAGTGTAAGTAGTGCTATCATTATTACTATATTTAAACACCCATGGTTTGCAGGAATGTGGTAAAGTCTGAATATAACACAGTTAATGTGTCACTGTCCCTGCCCAGGGCAACTGCTATTGAAAGGACATACTCACATGATGAGAAAGATAGCAGATACAATGGTTTGGAGTTAAGTATTACTTCACTGCTGACTCATGGAAAGAGGTTTAGGATGTTGGCTGTGTTTTCTTAAGAGCATCTAGCAGTTTTCATCTGGCTTATCAACTTCTCACATAGGTTTTTAATTACATTTGTATACTTATTATTACATTTCTTTTTAGTTTTCCTCACGGGAGAAAAAGCCAATTCCGTGTTAAAACGCTACCGAAGAGCTAATGGGTTTTTTGAAGAAATAAGACAGGGCAACATTGAGCGTGAATGCAAAGAAGAACTCTGTACATTTGAAGAAGCAAGAGAAGCTTTTGAAAATAATGAAAAAACTGTAAGTATGTTGGCAAATTTTAAAAAATTGCACAGTTTTGCCTGTCTTTTTCACGTACATTTGAAATCTGCATCCCTGAATTATGTACATTGCTAGCAATTAAAAATTCCTTTGTTAGGAATTCTGAAAGTGGCATCTAGCTAGTAATATTCTGTGGGTTGGAGTGCTAGGTTCATTCCCTTTTTACTGGACTGTCTTTGAGAGCCCCGTTTCTATAGGACTCTGCTGAGCTAAGATTTATCATCTTGGCAAGTTGGAAGGATTTGATTTGCACAAAGCTTTGTACTAGAGGATTATAGATAATATCACTTTGATGATGATAGTGTTTTAAAAGGTTTTACTTCTCATACAAAAGAAAAGACATCCAGACATCCCTTCCCACTGCGTGAGAATACTCCTCTTTACTTCTCTTTACTCTAGACTACATGCTATTCAAGGAGAGCAGGGGTGGGAAAGCACAAGGCAGCGGTGAAAATTCTGCAGAACTGCTCCACAGCTGGAAATTATGTTACCAGAGGTAGCCATTGTATAAAGATCCAGTCCTAGGCAGCAGGAAAATAACCCTAGATGCTAAACAAGTGGTGTCACTTATGCTAAAAAGATACCAAATATATCTTAAGAGCAGCAGATCTAAAAGTTTTAAAGAAAGGGGTAAGAGGAAGAAGCCTAATCTTAGTCAAATCACAGGCTTAGAAACAGGGAAAAGAATATATCATCCATGATACCGTCATGCAATCACAAAGTAGCGTTGGCCTTTTATTTTTTTTCCAGCTTTTTTCTTTTGCATCTGTTAAGTCCTTGTTGGTTTTATTTTATATATGTTACTTTTTAAAAATAATATGTATGTATTATAGAGAAATTTAAAAATGCAGTAACATAAATCACTTGAATTTTTAGCACCATCAGTTTTATAATTTTGGGTGTATATCACTCTGGCCTATTTTTACTACATAGATACTTTATAAATAAGAAAAATAGAATTGTATTAGAAATAGTGTTTTGTACCATAAAGTTTTTAATTAAAACTACCTGAAGTTACTATCAACTATAAACAAAACTTGTTTTTTTTGATATTGTGTTTTATCAAAGAATAGAAATTTTAATATTCTACTATGGTTTTCATTAGGCTAATGGCTTTTACCCTACTTTATCATTCTCCTTTAAAGAAATGGCAATAACTTGTTTGGAATTTTTTTTCTAAAAGTACTTTATACAAGTGAATAACATTCTTTTATTATAAAAAACCCACTTTATTGAGTTATGTTTGACATATAAAAAGCTGCACTTATTTAATGTATACTTCTCTGAGTTTGGTGATAGGTATACACCTATGAAACAACCATCACCATCAAGGTTATAAACATATCCATCACCTCCCAGAGTTTCCTCTCACTCCCTTTATTATTCTTATAGTTATGTTTTGTGAGTGTGGTAAGAACACTTAAGATATGCTGTACCTTCTTAGCAAAATTTAAGTATATGATACAACACTGTTAGCTGTAGGCACTATGCTGTATAGCAGATCTCAAGTATTCATTTATCTTGCATAACTAAAACTTTATACTCTTTGCTACTTCTCATTTCTCTTTCCCCAAGTCCCTGGCAACCACCATTGTCCTCTTTGCTTCTATTAGGTCACCTTTTTTAGATTCCACATATATGTGACATCCTGTGGTATTTGTGTTTCTATGCCTGGCTTACTTCACTTATAACGTCCTCCAGGTTTGTTCATGTTGTCACAAATGACAGGATTTCCTTTTTTATAAGGCTGAATAATATTTCATTGTGTGTTATATTCGTCCATTTTCATGCTGCTGATAAAGACATACCTAAGACTGGGAAGAAAAAGAGGTTTAATTGGACTTACAGTTCCACATGGCTGGGGAGGCCTCAGAATCATGGCGGGAGGCGAAAGGTGCTTCTTACATGGTGGTGGCAAGAGAAAATGAGGAAGAAGCAAAAGTGGAAACGCTTGATAAATCCATCAGATCTCATGAAACTTATTCACTATTATGAGAATAGCATGCGAAAGACTGGCCCCATGATTCAATTACCTCCCGTAGGCCCCTCCTACAACATGTGGGAATTCTGGGAGATACAGTTCAAGTTGAGATTTGGATGGGAACACAGCCAAACTATATCATTCTGCCAAATCTCATGTCCTCACATTTCAAAACCAATCATGCCTTCCCAACAGTCCCCTAAAGTCTAAACTCATTTCAGCATTAACCCAAAAGTCCACAGTCCAAAGTCAAGGCAAGTCCCTTCCGCCTATGAGCCTATAAAATCAAAAGCAAGGTAATTACTTCCTAGATATAAAGAGGGTACAGGTATTGGGTAAATACAGCCCTACCAAATGGGAGAAATTGGCCAAAACAAAGGGTATACAGGCCCCTTGCAAGTCCGAAATCCAGCAGGGCAGTCAAATCTTAAAACTCAAAAATGATCTCCTTTGACTCCATGTCTCATGTCCAGGTCACACCGATGCAAGAGGTGGGTTCCCATGGTCATGGGCAGCTCTGTCCTTGTGGCTTTGCAGGGTAAAACCTCCCTCCTGGCTGCTTTTACAGGCTGGCATTGAGCGCCAGTGGCTTCTCCAGGCATACCATGCAAGCTGTCAGTGGATCTACTATTCTGGGGTCTGGAGGATGGTGGCTGTCTTCTCACAGCTCCGCTAGGCAGTGCCCCAGTAGGGACTCTGTGTGGGGGGCTCGGACCCCACGTTTCTCTTCTGCACTGCCTCAGCAGAGAGGCTCTCCACGAGAGCTCCACCCATACAGCAAACTTCTTCCTGGACATCTGGGTGTTTCCATACATGCTCTAAAATCTAGGTGGAGGTTCCCAAACCTGAATTCTTGATTTCTGTGCACCTGCAGGCTCAACACCACATGGAAGTTGCCAAGGTTTGGGGCTTGCACCTTCTGAAACCATGGGCCGAGCTGTAACTTGGCCCCTTTTAGCAATGGCTGGAGGGGCTGGTACACAGGGCACCAAGTCCCTAGGCTGCACACACCTGGGCCCAGTCCAAGAAATCATTTCTGCACCTGGGCTCCCAGGTCTGTGATGGGGGTGGGTAAGGGCTGCTATGAAAACCCATGACATGCCCTGGATATGTTTTCCTCATTGTCTTGGGGATTAACATTCAGCTCCTCGTTACTTATGCAAATTTCTGAAGCCAGCTTGAATTTCTCCTCAGAAAATGGGTTTTTCTTTTTTACTATATCATCAGGCTGCAAATTTTCTAAACTTATGCTCTGTTTTCCTTTTAAAATGGAATGCTTTTAACAGAACCCAAATCACCTTTTGGATGTTTTGCTGCTTAGAAATTTCTTTTGCCAGATACCCTAAATCATCTCTCTCAAGTTCATAGTTTCACAAATCTCTAGGGCAGGGGCAAAATGCTGCCAATCTCTTTGCTAAAACATAGCAAGAGTCACCTTTGCTTTAGTTCCCAACAAGTTCTTCCTCTTCATCTGAGACCACCTCAACCTGGACCTTATTGTTTATATCACTATGGATATTTCTGTCAAAGCCATTCAACAAGTCTCTAGGAAGTTCCAAACTTTCCCACACTTTTCTGTCTACTGAGACCTCTGAACAATTCCAGCCTTTGCCTGTTCCCCAGTTCCAAAGTTGCTTCCACATTTTGGGGTATCTTTTTAGCAGTTTCCCACTCTACTGGTACCAAGTTACTGTGTTAGTCCATTTTCATGCTGCTGATAAAGACATACCTGAGACTGAGAAGAAAAAAAGGTTTAATTGGACCTACAGTTCCACATGGCTGGTGAGGCCTTAGAATCATGACAGGAGGCAAAAGGCACTTCTCACATGGTGGTGGCAAGATAAAATGAAGAAGACGCAAAAGCAGAAACCCCTGATAAACCCATCAGATCTTGTGAGATTTATTCACTATCATGAAAATAGCACAGGAAAGACTGCCCCCATGATTCAATGAACTCCCCTGGGTCCCTCCCACAACATGTGGGAATTCTGGGAGATGCAATTCAAGATTCAGGTGGGGTCACAGCCAAACTTTATCATGTGTATATATCACATTTTCTTTATACAGTGATCTGTCAGTGGACATTTGGTTACTTTTAGTTAGGAGTAATATTTAGAAACCAAGATATAGGAGCTAGAATATGTTCATTGCTACCAGAATTTCATTACTTCTGGACCTTTCAGCAATAGAGCTAGGAAAAAAAAATCACACATACCTATGCATGGATATAAATTCTATATATGTAGACATATATGTCTATAGACATGTAAACATATAGACATATGTATACATGTAGACATATATGAAAAATAACTAATTCATTCTGCTATTCTACAATTCCAATCCAACCCCTCAGGGCTCTTCCAGCCATTCTGTATTTGTAGATGTTCTTCCACAATGAGAATTCCAGCACCCAATAACATCAATATATTATTAATAACTCATTTGCTTAGTTGTATAATACATACACAATGGTTTTGGAATTGTATCTATATTGTAATGGGGAAAGGGAAAACTTTTATATTCATGCATGCATGCATGCATACTTTTTTTAACTTCTCATTTGAAAATAATTATAGATTCACAGAAAATTGCAAAGATAATACAGTGAGGTTCCATGTAGCCTTTACTCGGTTTCCCTCAATGGTTATACCTTACGTAACTGTAAGATCAAAACTAGGAAACTGACATTGGTACAGTCTGTATGTATAGTTCTGTGTCATTTTATCACTTGTATAGATTTGTGTAACCATCACTGCAATCAGGTAGCAGACCTATTCTATTACCACAAATTTTTTCATCATACTACCATTTAATAGTCACACCCACCATCTTCCAAAACCATCCCTAACTCTTAGCAATCACTAATCTGTTTCCATCTCTATAATTCTGCCATTGCAAGAATGTTATATGAATGGAATATTATAATATGGAACCTTTTGATATTGGTTTTTAGAGTCAGCATAATGCTCTTGAGATTAATGCAAGTTATGTATAT